GAAATGCAGAAGTTGATCTATTGATCATATTGCTTAGTGTTCTAAGCGATAGATAAGTAATACATTCTATCCATATTTGAATCTAATTTTTATCTTTATATATTTCTACTTAGATCACTCTGAACTTCTCCGCTAAGTAGGATTACAACTCGTCCTATATTGTTCTTCACATCATTACTTTTCCAAGTTTAAATCATTTTCTAACGAACATCCCTGTCATTTGTCATGATTAGTCTTTCTTTCAAAAAGTCTTCGTGCAGGACTAGTCTGCATATTAGATAATAACCTTCTGTATCAACCGACTTCAGCTCATTCCTGTACGGTTCTTTTTCTAAAAAAAAGGCAAGACTAGACACGTATAATGTCGTCCGTCAATCATATAATTTAGACAGACTTCATGACGCACAAAACTCCTAGACTAGTCACGTCCTAGTCAAAGTTGAAAAAAAGACTAAGAAGACGGATCGACATGACTAGAAAAATGACGAATCATTCAGTTCATCTTGTGCATACTAGGGTTATTGACTAACTGTCAATTTACTGATCGGAGAAATCAAATACACTATTCGATCTGGTTTGGTCTGCAGGCAGACCAGATCAGGCTGAAAAATAGTGGCCTGTCGGCAGCTCTGATGTGGATGTAAGTGTGGCTGGTTGTGGATGTCATCAAAACAGGCATTGAGAAGTCGAAGGGCGTGATTGTGAGTATTGATGTGTGGGTTAAGAGAATAGGTACACCCACACTCTATGATTGACTTTGAAATTTAGTTTCGACTCAAATAAATCGCGAACTCCTCGATTGTATTCATATTAAATACATAATTATTAAAAAGAAAATCTGCTTTCTACTCGCTCTAAGTCATTATGACATATTGACAATAAAAATATTTATGTTTTGATTGCAGAAGCAATTAAACATTGCTTTGAAGATGCTTTTTTTCTTTTACAAAGATTACCTTTTTGCTTGACGAAATTAATTGCTTAAGAAAGCAATGAAACGATATCAGATTTCTATTTATCAATAGATTACGTCGTGTGCTTCTTCACTTTCTGCGAATATGAAAAATATTATCGCTATATCAGATACAAAGAAAGATACCGTCAGTAAATTGTCTAATATTAATGCGAACGATGCTTTTGACAATAGTTCATTATTTTTTATTCGTTCTATTCAGGTAATACAAAAATATTTTTAGTTTCCTATTGATCTAATGTTGAACAATCTTCCTTTTCAGTTTTACAGGTTTGATTCTTGTCTCATTTTACATATTCTACTATCATTTCATGTCATTAGTACAAGTAAAATCCCAATTCTGCAATGGAATATCTCAATATGGTCGATGTTCACCAAATAGTGCGTGTGCCTGCTATCATATAGCGAGTGGTCTTGATATTGGTATCTGTGTTGATGCATTCGTCGATTGTTCTGATCTAACTGAATGTGGAGACTTAGACAACACTTGTTACGAATCTAATCATAGATGTGTTCATCATCCTCGTTGTCATAATCGTCCTGTTTGCTATCCAGTACCGAGTTTCAATCAGCAGCTCTGTCCACCAATGCCGAGTAAGAAGATGGACAGTGATCTAGGCGCTAGAGTGAAAAACGAATCACTTTAAAGTTATTTCCTCACTGTCCATACATTCTCATGCTTGCAGTTCATTTTATTGTAGAAGCGGTAGGAAAAAATTAATGATCCTTTAAGAACAGAGGTAGTTGAAGTACAAGACAGATAAAACGTGATATAATGATTGAAGTAAAAATATTTCATCTGTTCTCTTGAATTATATCAATGAATCTGAAGAATAATTCCTTACACTTTTATCTAGCAGTGCATCAGTACACAATAAACCTTTGAGTAGAGATGGAACTGACATACCGGCCGGTATATCGGTTCCATCTCTGCCTTTGAGGGTATATGCAGAACCAAAAACAAAATCAATTCTAATATGTTATACCTATCTTTATTTGTATACTAGACCGATTCTAGTGAATATTGAGTTTCGCTAAGTAGCCTTCTATCAAGATAGTTGCGATCGACACTCATAATTTCAATGTGTATGGAAATTGTTTTTTTTGATAGGTTATAGTATTACTGACTGAGCTACCTCTTTAAAACACTTACGAGAAGAATATTTTCGGGAAACGGAAACAGGAATTTAGACTATCTAAGGATGAGATGAATGACAAAGATAGAGTTCTTCTTTCAAATATCCCTTGAAATTCAGTTCATTCATGCTGTTGACATATCAGCAGAATATTGGATTGTCTCAATGGATTCAGTAACATTCGATTCAATTAAAACACGTCGCATTGAATTATCAAAAACTTTACTGACTTTTCATTCTCTAATGAACGCAGATGTTTTACATGAAAGACTATATTCGCAAGAGATATCAAGTCTAAAATATCTCATTTATATGAACTAAATTTTCCATGATAATGTATAGTGATGAATAGTACAACTACAACCACATCTACGATTTCAAGCACAACCACTACACAAAAACCATGTAAGTATTGTGTTATCATTTTTTTTTGTCTTGATCAAAACTACATGTTAACCAAGTCAAAGTAGCTTTCTATGTAGTATTACTCTCGATTACTCTACAGTCAAATAAAGATTAAATTGATCTTATAAATGAACTAATATCATGAATGATTCTATATTTACCATAAGTAAAAACAAGATAAGAATTATCTCTGCGTTTGTTAGTTGTCGTCATTATCGAAGTTTGGTTTATTTTCTTGACAGCTATAAAATGAAATTCATCTTCAATTGAATACAGAGAATCTCAATGTCTAATGCTTCAATGCTATCGAACATCTTTTTTGAAACATTTTGACTAAAAAAAAGATCTCAAAGAGCTTCTTTTAGTTTTCGGCAGTGGCGCAACCAGGATTTTTCAGTATGTTTAATCTCGATTTTCGAGTATGGAATCCAGATGAAACCTATGGAAATTGATGTTGGAACCAAATAATGGAATATTATCAAAAAAGATTTTCATTTGGAGCTTGCAAAAGCAATTAGCATTTTTCTGATCCACCCCAAGAATTTTTTTTGCTGCTTGTTGTATTCTAGTTTTTAGAATTTGATAGGAAGCTACACTGAATTTCATCGAAAAATATGCAACCGTTCAAGAGTTATGACTTTTAGAATTCATTGATATAAATCGACTGAAATTAGTCAATGTAAGTTCTCTAAAAAGTGTTTAGTAGTGATTCATTTAACATCAATACAATATTCAAATAAATTAAACTCATCGAGAAATATGTGTAATTGAAGATTCGATACCGATAGCGTACTTCTTCCTTCGTTAAGTATATAGTTAATCGAGGACATTAATTATAAGTCTGTTCTCACACTTAAGAATAAGATGTTTTCTCACCTATCAGCAAGTCTTTTTTTTTGTTCCATTGTCAATGTATATAAGATACTTCTCTTCTTCTATATATCTAAGACATTCTGTTCGTAAGACATATCTCATGTTTCTAAGACTTTAACTTTCTTTGATTTTCGGAAAATTTTCAACTTCTTGATTTCATTTGAATCTTATCATGATTTGTACTTTTTAAATTCCTTCTACACCTCTTTTTCTTTCCCTTTTCTCTATTTCTTGGAAATTCTTGTGTTTTCTTGATTTTCGGAAATTGTTAGATTCTCTTCTTTTTTTTATGGATTTTTTGCAGTTTCCACACAACTTCATTGAATTTTTTCGATTGCCGAGATTCTGCAAACTTCTTTATAAAAACAAGAAACAAATTTTCGAATTAAGCTTATCTCTTTTTATGATAGAACCGCCACTGGAGATGTGCCATCAAATAGCTATGGTAAGAGAAATATCGTCATATTATGAGAAACTTGCAGAACTTAACAATGATATATTGGTAGATTGATCTCTCTGACTTTAATTTACACAATACTTAAACATCAGATTTCCATTTATGAGGAAAAAGTGTCTTAATTCTACAGGATCTGGATCATTTATTCTCAAAACTATTAGATTCTATTCTATTATCTATTTATTTAGCTCTTGTTGTATTTTGCTCACCATTAAAAGGTGATCATCATCGATTTTTGATGGAAAATGTTTGGATGTGAGTGTTTTCTGTTAATTCCTACCAACATCCGGTCTCTACATATTTGAAACTTTTACATGCATAGAAACGTAGAACATGATGATGAAATATGTCAAAAATAACAGTGGCATCTTTAAATAAGACGTGCCATTCGAAACAAGACAGTAACTTGTGTTAAAGGGTAAAATGTTATCTTTTGAGACCTTTTTATTTTTGCATTTTGGACTCAGAAAAATAAAACTATGTCTTGAAAGAATAAGATTTTCTTGTTAGTCTGATTTTTAATTCTAGGTGCAAAATAATTAACAAAAACTGTAGTTTTTGTGTCGAAAAGTTGTTCACTAATGTTAACTTTCTTTTTCAAACAATCCCAAGTTTTATATTTTTGTAATGATATAGTCTAAATCAGAGATGCAGAATCTAACCGTGTGCGAAAACATGTGTTTGGGGAAACTTTTTGAGCATTATGATGTAAAGAATGTGTTTCGTTATTCTCCCACCTGGAAAAGTTTTCGAAAAAATTTCCCCGTTTGCGCAAACTTGATTATTTTACCGGCAGATTTTGCATCTCTCAGTCTACACATATTTTCAGTTTATGGATTAAACCCCCTATCGTAAGTTAAACTTTAGTTTAGTTCGCTTGATTTAACTGAAATCTTTTAATATGCAAAAAAAACCATACTTTCCGTTAAAATTAATTATCGTTGGTAACTGTGGTCCTGAAGACGAATCTTTTAAGAGTTCCAAATTATGATATGTAAGTATAGGATTTTATCTTAACTAGTAAAAATACGTCAGGATAATACAATGTCTTTCCTTCTCTTGAACTCTTTGGCTTTCCAAGAACAGCACAATACGCAAAATAAATGAATTTGTAATGAGCTTAACATTTTGCAGAAAATTATATGAAGATGAGAAAAAATAAAGAAACTCTTTAGTATACATTTAATGAACGCAAAAAAATAAATAAAATAGTGTCAATATCTGATAATCTTAATTTTGCTTTTTTGATAATTATTGTGGAAATATGAGGTTTTTATTATCTCTTTCTTAGTCTGTCTACAAACATTTACGAGTTCTTTTGATATCAAAAAGAAAAGCAATAGAATATGTTTAATATTGTTGTTAATATATCTTTAAAGGAGAGGTTTTATTACAATCTACATGAATATATTGAAGTTTATTTTTTATTTTTTTTTTCAAGTGCTCATATTCTTTGTCGTTCTGTCTATTCGTCGATAAAAGGATGTGAAGTTTCAATGTTCTCTATATATATATATATGTACAGAAATGCTCATGATCACATTTCTTAAAAAACTATAAAAAAGTCTTCGTTATTTGTCAAAGAATGACTACCGTGATTTCTTCTTCTTTTCAAAAACAGTGTGGAGGTCGGAATCGGTAGAAAGAGAAGACAAACACTCAAATATTTCAGTAGAGATCAATTGCATAATTTTGATTCTTTTTTCAAAAGATGCACTTTGAAAAAATGTACAAAAATTGTAGTGAACAAATCTCAATTCACTTCCACAGATAGTGTGTCCGATACTCACAGTGAATAGGTCACATGACATTTGTTATGTACCACTGTAATTACGTAGTATAGCAAAACTTCTTTTTTATTTTGCGAATATCTCGACTTTGGAAAATGATAGCGTCTCGATCTTTTTTTTTCTCAAAGATGCACCGTCGAGAGCTCTATAAAATCCTAATGAGCAAGTTCCAATTGCAAAACAGAAACAGTCATTCAAATACTTAATACTCTGGGACATTGTACCATCATTGAATCTATTCATTTTGAGTATAAGAGACACCATAAAAAAAACGCAATAGGAGTTTTAAAAAAAAGAATCAAGATTATACGACTGATTTCTGTTGAAATATTTGAAAGTGTCCCCATCCTGAAAAGAAAACACAGAAAAAACCTATTAAGAAGAGAAATTTGAAAATGAATCAGAACTTGAAACGATGTTAATTTCACAATAATTCCAATGGACTTTTCACTTTTCCTCTGTATAATGTTACTCCTTTTCTTTCTTACTTTATCAGAAGATCCTATCGTTGCTCTCTCTATTCTAGTTCATCCATTACGTGGAAGTGCAATTGACATTCATCCAAGTGCTCGATGGCAACAGAATGGTCTTACTGTCGCTGGAGGATATGGACTAGGCACTGGAATTAATCAACTCTCATACCCATATGGTCTGTTTGTTGATGATGAACAAACAATCTATGTCGCTGAATGGTCAAATCATCGTATTGTGGAATGGAAATGGGGTGCGACGAGTGGTCAAGTGGTTGCTGGTGGCAATGGACAAGGAAGTGAAACTCATCAATTGTCTAATCCATATGATGTGATTGTCGACAAAGAGACAGAAAGTCTCATTATATGCGATGGTTTGAATAGAAGAGTGGTTCGATGGCCTCATCCAAATGGGACAAATGGAGAAACAATCTTATCTAACATCGATTGTGTGGGTTTGACAATGGACGAGAATGGATCTCTCTATGTTGTTGACTATGTAAAACATGAAGTGAGACGATATCGAAGAGGAGAATCAGAAGGAATAGTGGTTGCAGGTGGCAATGGAGGCGGAAGTGGTCTCGATCAACTCAATGGCCCACAATACGTATTCGTTGATCGAGATCAATCAGTCTATGTATCTGACTGGTCGAATCATCGTGTGATGAAATGGATGGAAGGTGCAACACAGGGCATTGTTGTGGCTGGTAGCCAAGGACAAGAAAATGGTCCTACACCATTGATAAGTCCTCTAGGAGTCGTTGCCGATCAATTGGGTACTGTCTATGTGACTGATGGATGGAATGATCAAGTTATACGTTGGGCCAAAGGAGCCACACAGGGAACTGTTATTGTTGGTGGCAATGGCCCAGGAGGACAATCGAACCAACTTAGTGCACCTTTCGGTTTGTCATTCGATCGATACGGCAATCTCTACGTCGTCGATAGTGGAAACCATCGAGTACAAAAACTTAACATCACCTCAAATGCTTAAAACACTATACAAGGGCTATTTGTTCTTAGCTTCTCAATAAATATGATTCGATTGCTTTACATCCTCGTTTCTATTGTATTGATGCACATGACTTCGAACTATCTGACGACATTACTAACCGACGTTTACACGATCAATCCGTAAGATCTGATAAGATTTCATTTATGAATAATTCACTATTTCTTCGTAACGGACTTCCTCCCCCTCTTAATTGTTTAGAACTAAAATGGAAGATTAGTTAAAGTACAAAACTGGACTTATCTATATTGTATTAGATGCGATACAATAAATCTAAAATGAATAGAAGAATTCGTCACATGAATGTCATTTTTGTTTCTAAAAATACATATATATTTAACGCTCTAGATCATCAATGAGTTCTATCAGTTGTTTAAGCGTTCATGCC